CGGGTTGGATTTGGATATAGTCTTTCTTCGAAATTATGGTGACTGTATTTTTAACGGCCTAAGATATAAAAGTATTTAACTTATAATTTATAACTTTATAATCTTTCTTCGAAATTATGGTGAGTGTATTTTTTAACGGCCTAAGATACAAAAGTATTTCTTCCGGCGTGACCTCGGGACCTCGGACCTGTGATTAGTCCTTTGAATTCATTGACGGTAACGTGATATCCTCGAGAGCCTGACTGGAATAACGTAGCCATTGCGTTTCTCAAAGGTAAATTTTTCAGGTCTTGCTTGCTTGGTTGGTTGTTTGAGTTTTGGAGTTAAAACTTCAAAATCCCCGCGCTGTATAAACTAGATTGGTAAACAAAAGACTCGTCTAACAATAAACTCATGACGTCAATTGGTCGTCATGGTAACCCAAAACAATACCTACCCGTCATTTTATGGTAATGATTTAATAAACAATGCCTACCCGTCGTTTTATGCTAATATTTGATGAATAATTAATGTGCCCACCACTAGCCTACCACTAGCCCACCCAAAAAAGGGGTCGTGGCATGCGGTCTATACTACTAATATAGCTTAATAATGCTTTAATTAAAATGTCATCTCTGGACAATGAAATACTGCTCAACTATAGGCCAATATCTTCCCTTTGTTTTGAAATGTTGCGAAAAAGTGGCGACTTCCCAACCGAATGCCTATTTAAACGACAATAACTTAACAGAACCTTTTCAGTCTGCGCATAAGGAGCGCCATGGCACTGAATCTGCCCTCATTAGAGCTGTACAAAACGCAAGGATCTCAGTTGGGCCCAATCCTCTTTATACTATACACTTCGTCAATGGGAGACATAATGAAGCATCATGGCGTTTCTTTACTATACTTTTAACAGTTGTATAGGAGATGATATGGACTTATGTAGACACAAGGTTGAGGCGTGTAACACGTGCACTCGGACAGYTCCGATATAAAGACTTCCTTTATTAAGCTAATCTTTTTACTTTTTACTAAGGGATCCTGCACGGGCGATTTCTGCTGGTTTTGTGCCTAAACTTCGCGCCTTGAAAATAACCATAATTCTATCATGTCGATTGCTAATACAACCGTCGTTGCGAATAGTCCATGTAACCGCCAGGTTTTTTTGGATAATAAAAATACAAATCAACATATTACTTAGCTCGCTGTGCATCATCGAACCTCAAGGATCCTGCGATTAGAAATTGATTTTTGCTAACCCTAAAGCTAAGGAAAAAAACGGAGAAAACCCTTGAAGCACATGAGAGAACCATCAAACAGCTCTACTTAAATACGACACAAAGCACGGACGGCAAGACTCGAAACTTGGGTCGCACTGATGAGAGGCGATGCACGGGTACCACCCGTGCTTCTCAGTAGGTTTTATGACATAACTAAAATATAACGCCAGCTCTGATTGGTTCACCACCTATGAAGAATAAATGTATGGAGCACTCGTATGGGGCACGCTGGTGACGTCAATTTGGTAAAATTCGGTAAAAATTGCAAGCATTCAGATAAAACTAAAAAGACTACTAACTGGTCTACCCTTCTGTACATTTAAGGGTAAAATATGACTTGATTTCCTTTCAATAAATAAATTTATAGCGTATTTGTTTGAGCTCAAGTTTAGCTTACTAAAAAACTCGCCCTTCCACCGGCCAGCTCACTACTACAAGACGTAAAAGACTATCGAGAAGTCTTGCAGTTGAGAAGTCAATTAGTTCAGTTTTTCTTGCTCAATCCGCCGTACAGGTCACCACAGTAGTCCAGCAAAACACCATCATGGTTACTCGGCTCCGCCTCGTCGTTAGTCGTGCAACTCGTACGCTACCATCGTGCTCTCCCAACTATCCGCGTGCACCATCAATAGATTTAAGTACGCTAAGCATTGACCATTGCTTAATAAGTGGAATTTAGTATTTTGCAAATAAATTTTGGGATTTACGTTCTGTTATATTGGTGTTGGGACAGACGCTCTTTGATGTATACTGATATACTATACGTCTTTTCATTTTTGTAGACACACAACTCAAACAATTATAATTCATTCCATTCATGTTTTATGAAAATTGACGTAAAGAATGAATCTATGAGCTATATTTACTATTAAGTTGAATTATTACAAAAATACTTTTATTTGTTGGTGTACAGGCCGTTCATAAAAGACTGTTAATACGTGAAACTCTGTCCGGTAGTACTGTCCGGTGGTTATAGCAAGTTTTATTGTATTTGATTTGGCACATATTTCCAAACAAAAAAATTAGTCTAAAATTTTTGAAACTTGCATTTCGCACATTTTTAACCTCTCTTCTCTCCCGACCTATTATCAAAGTCACAAGATGACTGTAAGCCGGGAGAGGCGAAATGAAAACCGCCGTAGGTTTTTTCCGCCTCTCGCGGCTCGCTTTCGCGGCTCTCAGTTAATCCAAGAAAAAAAATCCCTCTGGAATCCAGGGTACCAATCCGATAGTGGTGCACAGTTTGATAAAAATGTAAACAGCACGAAGAACAAATCGGTTCGCTCTAAAATGTGTTTCCACCATTGCGGAAATGATATATCAACTTTCCTACTCATTGAAGCTTTATGAGAAGAAAAGAAGTAGAAAATTTTGTGTTAATATGGAATACAAGAACACTTGCGTTATACAAAATTAATACCTCTATAAGAGGTACGTCTTATAAGACTTTCGTGTTTGAAAGAAAACCCACTTTACTCAATATATAGCGAAGCGTTTTTTCAATTAAGTTAATTACTCTAGTATCAGCGATGCATTAATAATTCAATGTCATCGAAATCACTATCATCGCTTTCACCTTCTTCGTTGTCAAGCTGAAAAGAAAAACATCACAATAACACGTTACTAACAACTCTTTGGTGCATTTTCATCAGTCTTAGTTTGGAACCGGTGTTTTCTAGGCTTTTCCAGCCACTTTCTGAATCTGATCCAAGCCCTATCACAACCAGATTTGGGTTGTATGAACATGCTGTGTACGTTAAAAAAACTAATTCAGTATCAATAAAGATTAACGAAAACCTCCTAAATGCTTCAACCTTTGGGAATTTACCTCCGCTAATTCTTCTTCGTCAAAAATCTTGTTTAGAGACCACCTGAGCGGGATGAGACATATGATGAAGAAAGGAAACGCAGGAGCCACGTCGGTTAACTTAACAATCATTAATAGAAATAGACACACCATCTGGATAGCAGTAAACCAGTATATCGTCCTTGTTTTCACCTGAAATGTAATTAGTTTAAAGTCACCTATTCACCTTGTTAATGTCAAGTAAAAGATGCAAAATGCTGGCTCACCTTTCTGACGTAGCTGACATCAGGATGGTGTTTTGGAGGCATGAATAACATAATGATACGGTTAACAAGTTGGATATGAGATAAGGATGCTACGCCCAAGAAAAGAAGGACTCCAAAAAGTACCGGAACAGGAATACGATTAAGTACTGGAGCCAAAAGAATGGAAAACCCTAAGAAAAAAAATGTACTAGGTTCAAAACAAGCATAAAATTGATAACATTGAACGCAATCTGCTTGATCGCCCAATTTTGTTTGCAAAGCATAGTAAAAAGCGAAGTCCAATGCCGGCACAACTGTTCATGTCGCGAACAAAACCAATCCAAACAAAGTATTTATTGAACCTGATTTTCCCACAACTGAACAAAAAAGAAGATGTAAAGATAAGTGAAAGTGTAAGTCCTTACCGGTCAAGACATGTATAGCAATATTTGTAACTCTCTGTTCTTTTACTTCAACAAGGAATGGTCTTTCGCCCGGGGCGTGCGATGTACTCCATACTGACAAGGCAGAGAAATGTGATATTGAACGAACAGTAGCAGCACACATCCACGGTAATCCAAATATACCACAGATAAATGTTAATACACCCATCAAAAGTAAGTCCATATTGAATCCTGGAAGTTTTCGAAGGCAGTTCTCTTTCTTGTTTAACAAAACACCAGTCAGTTCGGTTTCCATAAAAAGAAGAATTCCCACAAATATCGCAGGAACAAATGCTGCGAAAACCCACCCGGGTCGTATTATTTCCTTAAGTCCAAAGGGATTTATAACCCAGCCTCGTTTTTCGTGAAGAGTTGGAAGAAAACCCTCCTTGAAAGGGTTTCCAAACGCAATTTTAGGAGTGAGTACTTTGTCTCCTACCACAATATCCAAAATAACCATGGTTGTCATAGCGATGACGATACTTAAATCACTTATTAATCTTCGCATCTGAAAGAAAACCAAAAAAGAAATGATTAACCCAACCACTGAATGTGGGGGTAAAGAAACCCTAACCTCAAGAACTGGCATAAGTCAAACAAACAAGGCATAAAATAAATCATGAAAAATTATTATTGTAAAACAGTGGTTCCACAAAGTGGCTCTTCTTCCACTGCATACTAATCGAAATTTAGAAGTGTATTTTTGCAGAGGGAAGAAAAATCGGAGAACCCGGAGAAAGCCCTTCCAATGAAGCACAGGAGAAAACCAACCCGGGAATCGAACCCGAGTAGTATAGGGGATGGGGGTTCCAGCGCCACGACCACCGGAGGATTACCCGTCTAAAGTGAATTCCTCGATTCGTACCGCGATTACCCGCATCCCGTGTCTATGTAGTTAAATATGTTAGTCTATATATGGAGTGTGAAGAATGTAAGAGAACTTTTAAGAAAGAAGTGGACTTGAAGAAGCATTTGAAGATGAAGACGAAATGTATTATAAGAGTATATTTTTGCCCATTGTTTCGGCAACCATTTTCGGCTACCTTTTCTACTCCCGCACGGGTATTCCTCGTAGACACATTTTTGCACAAAGTAGTATTTTTTTGTGTCCACTGCGCTGGTAGCAAGCCCCAGGAATGTCCGTGGAGGCGAAATACCTCTCCATTTTTGTATGCTCTTGTACTTTCCCCGCCGTAGCAAGACACCGCTACCTTTGCATGGAGAAACACAAGAAAAGGTTGGCGGGCTAAGGGTAACGATTCGTTATGCTTCTACTAGTAGCCAAAAACCTTCGACACCCTATATATACATGGAAGAGCAAAAGAGTATTTCGGCAACAYTGCAAGAGATGGGTATACGTGCGAAGAATAGGGTGCTAGCACATTTGCTGTTGGACAATGCATACGACGGGAATCTACTACCAGACATATCCAAGTGCGACTATTTGCGCGGGAACGAAGGTACTACCRGCCTGCAGCCGCTATCCGGGCTACCACCGTTCGTAGACGATGTGTTTGTCTATGGATTTGTTGCAGAAAACGACATGTATGGACGCATATGCAGAAACGCAAAAACGCTGGTCTCCAAAATATCCACTGCGACCCAGGAGGCATTTGGTACGTTCCTGCATGTCCAAATAGTACACAGCTGCAGGCAAGGAAAAATAGTAGATCGCGTCTCCCACATGGCAGCCAAATGGTCCAGTTTGCACGGAGAACCTGCAGCGGTTTTCGTAGCCAAAGTAGACACATCGGAATTGTCCATAGAAACCGTGGAGGAAAAGATACCCAAGTTTGCTACTTTGCTAGATGGGCACGGATATGGTATCTATTCCGTGGACTACACACAGGATTTCTCTGGTACTTTGGATAGAAAACCTTTGGTGCGCAGATTGCGACAGCTGGGCTACGAAATGCAGGGAGAACTGGGGGGACGCAAGGGTAC